AGTAGAAAGATGGATATAATTTTGGTGACGATGTGTAATCTGTAATTCTAATCTCTCAACACGCATGATATTTTATATATGACGCAAACTAAAGAGAAACAATAGCGCCTCTAAATACCGTGCACAGAGTTTTTATGTTAATTATTTAAAAGAAAATTTTATAAAGTTATATGCGCTGCGGGATGTAAAGAGAATCAGATCATTAATCCTGTGATAATATAGTAACGTGGAAAAAAAAAAATAAAAGAAGGTTCACAATCTATGTTTATAATGTCATCTCAACTCTGTGGAACACCCGGTACACGTTGCATTAAGCGCTGTACGACGCTACTCTGCGACTAATTGGGAGCGGTTAATGAGGTGACGCATTTTTATTGTTCTTCCGGCTTGTTAAGCGACCTGTTTGCTTCCGTAACACGTACGCCGGGAGCCCCGGGAAGGCGCAGGGATAGCTGGGAATCCCGCGGATATCCTGAAATTGTCCCGAATACCCTGCGCGAATCCCGGAAACGCCGGTAGAATATTTTTCGCGGCTTTGCCGACCCGGCGGATTATCGACATCGGTGCTACACACGTGCGTTTATTCGCACACGCGTCTCCGTTTAAATAAACGGGCTCTAGTGAATTCATAATTAAATCGGCTTGATAAATAGAAATAAATGGGCGACAAGACGGTGGTGTTATCAACGCCGAACGATATACATGCTTTAGCTCATAAAATATTACGCAGAGAATGAATCTTACACAGAAAATGAATTAACTCACCGAATAATATTTTCGAATGAATTAAGTTGAAAAGTTAAATTGAAAGACATACTCTGCGTGGCGGTTAATATATTCTTTCAAAATATGAAGAATATGCGTTTCGCTTCAAAATATTAAATATTTTCTCATAAAACACAAATAAAAACGCCTAATCTATCAAAATGAGTCTTGGACAAATTGCGCGTCGATTGCTTGAACTGGAAATTATGAAATTTATACAAAAAATATTATTAGACAACAAGATCCGTTTTAACCGAATAAGCGTTTTAAAATTGAAATAAATCGTTTTCAAGTTTTCCGAGATATTTTAATGCAATATATCAAATAACAAACACGTAGGTGTAGACGTAAAAATTTTTTTAAATGCAAACATTTGTCAAGTTAAAAATATATCGAAATAATAGTCTAATAAATGGACATGAACGCGAAGCTTGATTGGTTTTTATGTTGAGCTAAATGATCTGTTTGTTGAAACTGAATTGCCATTTTCGTCTCTGAATGGCATGCAATTTTGAATGTTATTTCAATCACCCTTTTAATATAGGGGTTCAGCTTGCCGATTTACATGTATGTGTAATTGATATTTTCTACTTTTGTGAGCCGGTCTCTCATTTCCGCATAAAACTGTCTATTTACAATTCACCCTATTTTGTCCTAACATTATTATAAAAATCGGTCAGCGCACCGTCCGTGTATAATGTCCGTGTATAATAAGTATGTTTCACAGAACTGGAACAGTTGTAAATATCGAAAACGGAATGTAAATTCACAGAGAGTTGAGACTTTATTGTTAGAATATTTCATGTTGGTAATGAAAAATTTGCGAAACAAGATGTATAATCAGATTTTGCTAGAAAAGACCAGCGCACGGATGAACATTCGTCGGTTATATTTATAAACGGAAAGGTATGCTTAATAGCAGTTTGTATAAATATTCCATAAGCTACGTTATTTATTTAAAAAAGGTTTCAATGCATTGTATCTCCTTTGAAGTAAAAAAAAAAAAAAATTTTTTTAAATCTCAAACATGATTATTGTGTAGCACAAAATGCTGAATTTCCACCTACAAAAGCACTGTGATTATTTTTGCAATTTTACATATTGCATTTTAACGGATAAAATTTAAACTGAACCGAAATTACAATACACACATTAAAAAAATCATTTTTAAATTTATGGTGTTTTTGAAGACAAGTTGGGAGATATATATCGTGTACGATAAAATAATAAGTAAAACGTAGAATGAATTTCAGTATTGTGCGTATTCTGCGTCCCGCATTCTCTAAGTCTCCGGTTTTTTTTACGTTAAAAGTGGCTTTTGACGCATATTCAGTGGCAAGACCTCGCATAGGTTGGAATTCTGGTCAGGATGAGGACGCGAGAGATTGACGGCTGCATTAAAAGGGCGACAGGCGAAGGATCTGAAAAATCCAACGCGCAGATATTACTTGGCGTTCTCGAGATGTCGTGTTTTTCTATCGTATTCCGCGAGACTTTAATTCGCGTTCTAAAATTTGATTCGATCGCACGAACGAGAGTTTATCTTAGATGTATGTCCAATATACATGTTCGAGCGATTTTAACGCTGCTCTGCTGCAATTTTTATAAAATTTTTTTCTGAGTGGACATATGTCCAATAAAAATCTCATGTATATCATAATACAAATATAGTCAATATAGTATGCATTGACGATTTTGACCCATTTTTTACACTATCAAAGGTTGTTGGTCTGGCTTGATAGAACATAACATCTCTCAGGTTCCGTATTTCTTCAAAAGAAGCTATCTTGATGTTAAACCATTTCGCTACATATATATAACATATGTGAAATGGTTAATTCATGACAGCATTCCACTCAATTTCTTGAGCTTTGACTCGATCCTTCTTACGAGCGTGTCTTCAATTTCAGTTTGTATACGCAATATTTTTCTATTCATCTCAAGGATTTTTACAAAAAATTTGTACTTATATATATTTTTTAACAACTTACAAATAAAGTAATTACGTATTATATTTACTCTGAAATTTTTTCATCTTTTTTCGATAAGTATAAAAAGTATATTTAAAAATAATAACTCAATATTACAATAATTATAAAACAATATCTCTATTAATTTTAATTTTAGCAATATTTATAGAATCATTTTCATGTTTAGACTGCTAACCCTTGTTCTACGTAATTTATGCTTACGTAGCGTTTACTGTACAAAACAAAGTTTAACTAATCTGTGAAACTGTTTCATGTTTAGTTTGTTATATTCAAAGTTTGCTTGGAAATTAATTTCAATATGATTGAATATTTTATTATTTATAAATTGATTTTAATATGAATTACTATATATCTATTATTAATTATTTCTCCCTTTTCAATTAACGCAGCCTTTAAAAAGTTAAAATAAACTTTAGCGTGAATTAAATATTATTTCTTCAAGATAATTTATTTTAAAATCAATTTTTTAATTATCAAGAAGCGACGACAATTAAATTTTAGTTATGAAGTTAAGTTTAATTATATTTAAGATTTTCGATATTTGAAGAGCAGACTTTTTAAAATGCGTTTTATCAAAAATTTATAATATTCAGAAAAAAACCACAAGGCAATCACGCGAGATGATCGACTTACAGAAAATAACAATTTGTCAATCATAAAATGTAAAATGTTGACAAAACTAAATTGCTAAACAATTTCTAATAATACTGTTAAACGAATGTATTCTGTTTATCTTTAATTAAAGAAACATAAAACACATCAAGTTTCTAGATTCTTTTGATATATAAATTTGCTGAAAAAGTGTTTTCTGAACATTTCAAAGTATTTATAATATGTGTCTTTTATTATAAAGTATTACACCATTTCTAACCAAAAAAATGATATTTTGGACAAAATACATTTTGAAAGTTTGCTTCTTCATTTGTAGTTATATCAAAATTTGTATTATTTGTAAAATCATTTTTATTGCAATCTTAAAACTTTTCAACTATGATGTTTTGGACGAAAATTGGCATCAATTAAATTGGCACACTCGAAAAATGCCGACTTCTTTTTTCCTACTCGAACCGGAATAGGAAAAAAGTGAAAGAAGAGATGGTGAGAGCGCTGGCAAAAGGAGAAAAGAGAAGATACGCGACTTAGTTCGTGAAAAGGTATCGACGTTTGCCATGACGCTATCTGTCGTGGATAATGCATCAGCTGCTAGAGAATGTCTCCACCAGTCCTTTTTTTCTCGCGGTGAAATACTTCCCGTGTTGAGCATTGTACCAGATTACTGAAAATATAGCCTCAATCAAATTCTTAATCAATGTCCGTTGAAATAAAATACGTTTCAATGCTGTAATTAATGTTTTAATATAAAATTGATTATCTAAGAAGAGATAAAAATTGCATTCAGAGCTAATTTTCTTCAATTTAATATGTACTATTAAAAATCTATATATATTCAGTAATTCCTTCGATATAAAATACATCTTTTTTTTAAATAATTCGTGTTCTGAAACATCCTATATTTTTATACATAACAATCCCATAAAACATTATATAGTTTTCCATTTTTCTTGTTGATTCATGTTAGTTTACTGTTATATTATTATTATCATATGGAATTGCAACACGTGACTCTTAAAATTGCCCATCAAAGCACAAGGAATCTCTACGTGCGCAATACGATGCAATTACAGGTTTCTTTTTATTCCGTATATGTATCTCGCGCAAGTTAACTTCCGCAAACATGCGACCGCTCGGTGAATTCACGGTCACGTTCCGCGCGTAAAATACGTTCTCGGTGCTTGCGGGTTTATACATCGAGTTTAGGGTTCGTCGGCACCTTAAGGCTGGGATAAAGCGGTCCTTTGAATGAAACTCCTCTCACTGGAAGATTTATACGCGCTGTGCTGGGAAAAATCGAGTAGATAAGATAAGATGGTGCAACTACGTGCCAAAGAACACCGTGATCTACTTTGAGTAGATTGTCTGCAAATTCGTACAAATACGTGAGATAGCTTCGTAGTGCCAGGCCTTGCATACAACATCATGTATATACCTACATAATGAATTTATGGCGTATCAGTGCTTAGAAAAGCTCCATTCCCCGCAGAAATGTAATCTTCAGGCAACATACGTAAGGATATGTAAAAATATTCTTTCAATATGCAATAGATGTATAATAGATGAGAAGGGATACGAGACTGCTTCATTATTTCATAGACGAAATATTTATACAAAAAACTTGTAACTTACCAGTCGTTGCCAGTTTTGGAGACGTTCTGTCGCTTGCGTCCAGTTTGGTGAGGCTTTGGCTCAGCTACCATATTCACATCTGAAAACACAATGATTTCTTGATTAGTAAAAACATCGTGAAAAAGATACAGAAGTAAAGTAGAAAAAAAAGTCACATTAATTGTGCAATTAATTAATATATAAGACAGAATTTAAAGATTATAAGATAAAATATTAAGTTAATGAACTAAATATATATTTATCTCTCACCTTCTACTCAGTTCTATATTATTTAACTCTTTCTTTAATTATTATATTTAATGAATTATATAAAGACTCGTATTCTTCATTAGATATTGAATTGTAATGTACTGAGATCTATTAATATAATATTAGGTGTTGGAATTAATTCGTAGCGTTTTACAAGTGATGGGAAGTACTTTCATTAATGTATTTTTTAATGCTCATGTGAAATAAATAACATTCTTTCATTAAAAACGCTACGAATTAATTCCAACACCTAATATTGTAATGGGTAATTAATATGAAACTCAAATATATTTTAAGTTTGTTAAATTTGAGGAATAAAATATGAAGCAAATATTGATTTTATATACGAAAAAAATAGTGAATAGATAAAACTTTAAAAAGAAACCTCATCGCGTCGTTTTTAACAATAGTAGTTTAACATAGTGTTAAAAGTTCATACTTCATCCAGACATATCGACGTTTACACTTGCAAAATAAACAAGTTCTAATAATAATAAATGCGATTGCGAGTATCGCAGCATGCACGACTTGTGCCGTACGATATAAGCGTAAAGTGCATTCTCATCGCTGCGCTGCACCGCTCCGCAGGCCGTTTGCAGCTTACGCGGATTAATAAAACGAAGATGGCTATAGCGAAGCGCGAAGTTTCCGCTCAGCGTTTCCGCAAACAGTTATTAATTTCGCTGCCTTTGAGCCGGCCCATAGCGAGATTGATAATGAATGCGCTGCTACGTCGCGCGGCGGACGATCAAGCGACAAGGATTTTCACATTCTTCTTGTTTTCGTCGCGATGGTTACTGAGACGGCCGCCGTATTCATCGTACAGAGTGATTCAAAAGTCGTGCAACAGGTGTGCAACGATATTGATCCGCGCGCTGTTCTGCGCTGTAGCAGCTTACGATTGCGTACGTAAGTGATAATTTTCCGGGTGTCAACAGCATGACAGATACGCAAATCATGAATCACGAACTGTCATTAAGAGCTGCAAGCAATCCTGTGACAAACGCAATTGTGTTCCCGTAGAAAAAAGATAAGGAATTAAAATAAGTTACGATCGACTCGGACGATCCGATGATAAACGTCGAGGAAGCACATGTATATAGTGATATGCTGTACGCTTCTGAAATCGGGGGTGTTTAGAGATATCAAGAGAGGAAGAAATAGGATGTGCCAGAAAACGGGAATAGTGATACCTGCCGGAGGCAAGAAGATGAAACGGCAGAACCGAGACTAGAACCGATAAGGAAGGAAGTATCAAGAGGGGAGAGGTAAGGAAAAAAAAGATAAAAAGAAGAAGAGAGACAGGAAAGCGGAAAAAGCGATAGAGTGAAGGAAAACTAATATAAAGAGAAGAAACAGCTCTCGCCAATTTGAGGAAGTTGTTCTATTCTTGTGGTGAGATGGTAGAAGTGGAAAAGTGAAAATTGAAGAGACAACAGGAAAATAGCGAGATTGTTCAAATAAATCAATATTGAGTAAAGATGTATATAAAAAAAGAAGAGGATCGTACATGCTGGATCATTAATTTTCTATCATCCATTAAGTTAACTAGGAATTAAAAATTAAGATATTAAAGTGAAGTAAAATATAGGCGCGCAATTAATACATTTTTTTTTCGAATTTCATTGAAATTGAAATTCGCAATTTCTTTTTAGATGAAATTTTATCATAATAAAATTTTAACACAATTTTGAATAAAAATTTTAACATAATCATAAATTCAGGAACACACCCTTCGTCACAAATCACTTCATCCTGAAAACATTTTCCATCATACCCGCTCCTGCAAGACGTTTGCTCGTATCCGTGTCGCTAACTTCCGGACGTTCTGCAAACCGTTGAGGTCCTGTAGTAAGTCCCTACCACTATCCCTTCGCCATTCCAGCCCCTCGCAGAGGGGTGGTTTGTGGATGTTCCTTGTTAGAGTAGCGGGCTGATTCCGTTGTGTGCGCAGCGGTGCGCTTCGTCCTTTGTGTGAGCTAACCAAACACCCCTTCCTCTCATCGCCACCGCCCTGTACCTTATCCTCATTCCCCTTATCCTTCTGCTCCTCCATTATCGCGGCTACTTGCGCAAATTGTTTACACGTCGGTCCGCGAGCATTTCATGAGGCCGTCCGAAAATTGATGATTTGGTAGATGTTTGTTGCACTTTGAGGAGATGGAGAAGGAGGGTCTGATTTATTAGAGAAAGAGAAGGTGAGAGTATTTCACGGAGCCACTGAAGATGCTGGGTAAGACTGCATGAGAAGCTAAAGCAAAGTCGATCTTCGGTTTTACGCAAACACTGAAATTTATTTTATAAAGCATCCTCATATATTGTCTTTAAAAACTATAAATTGGCTTGAAATAAAAAAAAATAAATAAAACGATAAATGGTTATTTACACGTAAAGAATGTTCTAATAAATGAAATTTAGATTAATAAAAATTCATAAGCACAAATGTCTGTGCGATACAATAATCACACTTTGCGTATTTTTTAACAATTATCTGGATACGGCAATTCATATTTTCACACAGTATTTTCAGAGTTTATATCTGTTTGCGTTTTTTCAACGGTAAATTTTCAATAAAGGTAAATAAGAGTAAAAATTCTGCGCAGCAATTCGTGCGTTATAATTTAATAGAGTAAATTGTATTTAAATTCTTTTTACATCATTTAACAAGATGATCGAACGTTTCGGCTCAATCCAAGTCAATCATAAATAATATCCAAAATTTAAACAATCAATTATGTATGCAGTGTCCGCATGAAATTCTAGTATGCAGCGGATAGAACATCTTCCAATTTCCATATTTGAATTATCAAGTAGTTTTTATACTAAATTAACTAAACAAACTCCTCAACTTTGACATGCAATCATATTAAATATGATATAAGAAGTATTTCAATATAATACTTTGTTAAATTATAATGCACGAATTACCACACAAGATTTTTACTCTAACTCGTCCGTGTTAAATATTTATGAGAGTGAATCAAATAAACGGTATTTTTTAAATTATTTATTGAATAAAAATAAAAATATAAAGAAATTATTTTTTTACATAGTTTCCTGCTACACATTTTTGGCAGTGGATAGAGAGTTTGGCGATCCTGTTTTCATAAAAAGTAGTAAGTTGTGTCTGCAACCAATTGTACCTGACTGAATTCCTCCTGGCATCGTCCACGAATCGCATTATCCTCCCAATTCTTCTTTCAGCAGTCCAAATAAATGAATGGAAAGATTGTCCCAATGCGATTATCATTTGGATCGCTAAAAGAAGAATCGGGAGAACAACGATTCGAGAATGATGCCAGTATAGAGAAATTCATGCGCAATCGGATGCAGATACAACATACTACTTTTTATGAAAACGGAATCACCAAACTCCCTATCTGCTGGCAAAAATGTATTAATATAACAGGAACCTATGTAGAAAAATAATTTGTTTTTTTTTATTTTTATTTTTGTTCAATAAATAATAAAAAAAATTTCCGTTATACTTGATTTATCTTCGTACTTGTTCAAATTTCAAGAGTCCGATTAATCTCAATTATTTTTTTTCAATAGTATTCAACGTTGGATAATTATCCAATCGATTGCGTCTAAGAACGAGTAAGCGTCATAGCAAGAATCGATAAATTCAAGCGCTTTCTCGCGTGAATGATGTGTGAACTCGCTTCCTCGGTTTATGATACAGTGAAGCTGTGTGTAATCGCTCGTTGCGGAACACTGCGGGCGATCGGCAAACGCGGCAATCGTATTCGCTAATTGTTTTTCTCGATTTGTTTCCCGCGGATCGAAATGCTCACGCGGATTGATTTATTGGTAATCCACTTGTACGCACGGCAGAAGAGAAAATCCGGGCGTCAAGGGGTTAAATGCAGCGCGGCGGAACGAAACTCCCGACATTCGCCACCGCGACGCAGCTAATCGTTGCGGGCGTCGGCGTCGCCGCGAAGTTTAGTCGATACGCGGGTGTACGCGGATGCAGTAACGCGCGCGAGAGAAAGAGAGAGGGGATGGGAGAGAGAGAGACACGGTAGTGACACAAAGAACGAGAGAGAGAGAGAACGGAAGAGGAGAGAGGGAGAGGGAGAGAGAGACAGAGAGACAGAGAGACAGAGAGAGAGAGAGAGGAAGTCGAGTATCGATGTCATCTCCAGCACGCGGTTGAAGGGTGATTCCTATATCGCGTTGTGAATTGTTCCTCGAACTAACCGCCCGGCGGTTGAGCGAGCGACAGTGAATGCGAAAGCATAGACGAGAGCGAGAGCGAGCACGAGCGCGAGCGAAGCTGAGCGGAGTCTGTAACAGGCAGCGACGCTAATGGAATATGACAACGCGAGGCGAATAATAATCGGCCGTTTCTCCGTCGCCGAACTTCGTAATAAAACGAGCATTGTCCGTGACGTTTCGTCGCCGACAGCGTCGCGACGTCACGGCGGACGTCGCCTCGCCGATTGCGGATTTTTCGCGATGTTTTCGCGTAACGTGCGCGTTCATACTAACGATCCGTACCGTTAATGCACTTACTAACAATGTAATCCGTTCAGTGGATTGTTCTACGAATTTTCTCATTGATTTGAAGTTTGAAATTTTTTTCTGAGTATAATGCGGATTCGATTTTATTTTTAACTACAGACACGTACAATTGAACAATTTAATGTAAGCCTGTCCAATTTCAGCTCCGAAGCCAAAACACAAAGCCATTGACGCAAAAAAATTCAATGTAAGATTTCAGGGACTGTAAAGTGTTGATAAACGTAATTGCTCAGACACATATCAACTCTTTAGTCCTCAAAATCTTATCCATATGATTTTTTTGCGTCGGTGGCTTTGCAT